TCGCCGAAGACGACAATCAAGATTCTGTCTACGCCGTTGATGCTGACGTAATCTCTTTGTTAGACTCTGCGGAGGAGTTCATCCCCGACCAGAAAGTGGTGGTCATCAAGCCTGACAAGGATTGTGGCCCGGACCCAGATGCCCACATGACCCGGACTGTAATGCATTCACTCTTCGCCACCGTCTCTTCATTTGAAGCCTCGTATTTGCAGCAGATGAAGCCATTTTGGAGAAGAGGGTTACTGCTACTGGTCGTTGGATCCATCCTCCAAGCTTGATAAGATGCTCAATCATGAATTTTAACTGCAAATTGAAAATGTGCAATGAAATGCAAAAGAATGGTGTTTGTCTAATTGTCTTCAGTCTCAATTTGTCTGACTTATTTCTTTGCAAGTTTTGGGCTAGCTTAATGAGAAATATCTGTCTATTTGTTTCTGCGTCTGAACTCTTTGAATTTATATGTATAATTCGATTGAACTTGTTTGCAAACAGGCGTGTGTAATTTTATTTATTTTCATTTTTAATCGTTTTTGAAGCTGTTCTTGTCCTTTGTGCTTTGCGGCATGGAATATGAATGAGATGATCATTAAATTTTTTGTGGTATCGAGTCATTCAAAATTTTCAGTTCATTGTCAGTTAATTTTGATGCATAGTTTTCTTGATAGTTTTCCTTTAAAATAATGATTGTTTGATTTAGAGACGTCATCATGTATAGTTGCCATCGCCGAGATAACTATTTTACTTAACTCAAGAACTATTATTCTGAGTTCTCTAACTCTGTGACTGGTCATGTCAATTGTTGACGTTGACCGGCCAACGTTCGTCCAGGTTGGGTTCGTCTGTTGGGTCCGTCCCTAGGTACACCCAATTTGACTAGTTTCATCTGGTTGCAAAAAAATAGATTTCATTTGATAGTTTAATTACACCTGTCTTTGACTAAAGTGACAAAAAAAAAAATGTAATTGTCACAAGTTTTTTAGGAACAAGTAACTTGTTGGGGGTAGGTGAACTCTTCAAAGTTTTTGCTTCTCTCAAGATATTTTTATTTGTTGTAATAATTATAATAGCTATTCTTTGTAGTGATGGATGGCATGAAAATGCTTATTTGATTCATTGCAGGTATTTGAGAAAATGGCTCGGGCACGGTGTGCCTCAAAAGGGAATATCCCATACTTTGAGACTTGTGCTAAGGAAGGCACCAATGTTGAATAAGCATTTCATAGTTTATTAAGGTTTTCCTTTGGGTGTTGGTAGGGTTTGAATTAATGATTTTCAAGGTTTCTGATCTGAAAATTTGAATGTAAAGAATGCTTGAATTTAATTTCATGTGATTCTATCTGAGTGTCTCATTTTTTTATTCTCAAATTATTTTCTTCAGCAAATCAATTCTGAGTCGCTCTCTTGCCCACCAGTCATGAACGTGCACAAGAGCTCGGGATCATCCGATTCTCATGGATTTCAGGTCACATATTTTCCTTAATCTCTATTCCCTAAATCTTTTCTTGTAGTTTCTCTAATAATTTGTTCATATTTCATCATTTCTTTTTGCTCAGTTCTATTTTCATTTTGTGTACACCAATTGTGGGGGATTGATAAGCCATTCTTGTTTCAAGACAGCAATTACCATGAGGCTTTCTGATAAGCCATTTTTTTTGGTTTATTTTATCACATGGAAGTGGCTTGTTGATTTCTCAATACTTCATTTTTTTTTTCCCGTAGAGATTATGTAATGTGTTATAAATTACTTTGTTTAAACATAATTTATCACAACTAGAATACTTTTAAAGAGTTAATTTGTATTTTTCAGATGCATGTAGATCCTTTTGAGGAGGTGCAAAGGAGCATAGAAGTGCTACTGAAGAGGAAGTAAGCACACATATTTATCATCTTGATGTTATAGTTCATAATTCTTTAG